TAAGGCTGTAATGAGGAGAAATCACAGGATTTTATTTTGTTTTCTAGTCAAAGCTGCACAATAAGTCAAATCCCAATAATTACTTCAGTAATGTTCAGTACTGCACTCCCAGTGCAATATTTGCATTCCAATCATTTTTTCAATCAGCTTTCTCTGTCCATGACTCGAGACTCTTAAATTTTACTATACAAAATTCACATTTTACACTTTTTTATTTTTCCATTTCAGTTTCTACTGCTTCTAAAAACACTTAAATAAAACCCATAAAAAAACATCCAGCTAATCATTGGTACAAGTTGATGGTTTTTGGTGTCTGGGAAATGAGTCATTTCAAAAACCTGCATAATGATTCACATGCTGTTACCTAGCAACCCAGGCTGAGACTGGCCTGTTACCTAGCAACCCAGGCTGAGTTCCAGGAGGTTTGGTCAGCTGGTTTTACCGGTGCATGTGTAGTACAATGGCTGCTGGAAAAGACAAATGTTTTGTTGCCGACTTATCATCCAGAAACCACTTGCCACATTTTTTGTTGTGCAGGAGGCTCCAATTCTGCTTTTCAAATATGTACAGTTGTATGATTGTGCACGTCTGCAGCCATTTCCACATGTGAGTGTAAACGTTGAGTTGGGGGGCGTGGCTTAGCAGCATCTAATTTGGGTTTAAAATGACAGGATCAAAATAAGATCTCGGTTTCTAAAAATGATTTTGTGCAAACAGAAGAGTTGATAGAAACATTTTATTTTTAACACTGTTGCATAAACAAAAGGCTATTTGTAGCAGATCAGCAAATTTTTTCTAAGAAATGCCAATAGCTAATAAAATATTCAGATTCTTTTATAAACCAAATCTCGGACACTTTAAAGCCATTACAGTATAAAAAAAAAGTTAGGCCTCTTTCTAAAATTGCAGTTAATTCTTTAAGAGTTTCTAGAGTTTAAACACAAGACGATATTTAAATACTTTTAAAAATGGATGAAAGAAATTGCAGTTTCATTAATTTCACACAAACCTCCAAAAAAGTCCTGGAAATGTGTGTTCATTAAAAAATACTAACTTATGTAGTGTGCTTAATATACAGCCAGTAATAAATGTTGGAGATGCAATTTACTGCGCCTCTGAGTCTTATCATTATTTCTGCAGAGCGCTAAGTAGCTGCTTTATCACATGCTGTATACATGAGCACTTTGTGTTTGCTAATACCTGATTAGTCGTAAAGAATCGCTCTGGGCTTCGTTAAAGTCCCCCTGACTCAGCTGTCGCTGCTTTTCATTTAACTGTGTGATTACACCCAGACGCTGTGCTTTTACCTCGGCTGAAAAGGAGAAATGTCTGCTGTCGTTGTTTTTAAAGATTGTTTCTGATGTCAAAGTCGAAATGCTCGTAGCTGATGAGTGACCTGCTGCAGAGGAGAAAAGCCCGCCGTGTTTGCCTGAGAATTGATTCAGGCCACTTTTCCCCTGACAGAATGTCTTTGTTTATTGCTAAATTTATTAAGCTGAGCGTGAAGCGTAAGCAGCTTCTGTGCTTAGGAGGCAGAAAGCGCAGAGAAAATCTGTACGTCTGCAAACAAACCAGACTGAGATTAGATCAGTAAAGCGGCCTAAACAAAGTATTAAATGAATAAATGCATTATATTCAGCATGCTTCGATTTGTCTGTTATGAAATTCTTTATGCATCTTGGTTCTGGAGGATTTTTTAGTTTCATTGACAGCTGTTTCCAGCTAGGGCAGGTATTTGATTTTTTTATTTTTTTTTTAAAGGGTTTATGTGGCAGATGGTTGAAGAAATGATGTAAGTGACTTTAGTTGATCCACAGCAGCTTTTATGAGCCTTTCTCTCCGCTTGCCTCGTTCTTTTGTTCACCACCCAGAGATGAAGGCAGGAACGTAGATCGACCGGTAAATCTGGAGCTTCGCCTCTTGGTTCAGCTCCGTCTTTACCAAGACAGATTGGTGCGTCATCACTGCAGAGGCTGAACCAAGCCACCGAACGCCGCCCCATCATTCATGACCAACAAGACCCAAGATACTCTGGGAGCGTTCCCACCAGTCCTGTTTGGTCCGCTTTAATCCAACTCCAGTCCATTTGTTTAGAAATCCCGGTCTGGTTGGTGAGGTGTGAACGCTAATCAAACTCTGGTCCGCAGACAAACCCCTGTCTTCGTTAGGTTGAAGTGAACTCTAATGCAGTTCAAATGCATATGTGAACGCCAAGCAGATCGGAGACCACTACAAAAGCAGGAAGTGGACTACAGTGCAGGGCATTCTGGGTAGATGCAACCAAAACAAACATGCTAGCCTAGCGCTAGCGGGAGGAATGGCTTGTAGTCTTCAGCCAAAGACAAATCCTCCAACCACTGAAATCTGATGCTACTCCTTTGTTGTCGAATTCAGAGGTTTTTGTAATTTCCTTCAGTAGTTCTGGGTGCAGCGCCCCCACAGGTGAGGAGGGGAACAGGTTGCTCAAAGTGCAGTGGGAAAGGGAACCCAAACAGCTGAAATTGGAATAAATGTTGCAAATTTTGGTTCCCAATTGAACCAAAGCTACTGAACCGTCAGGTTTGGTAGATTCACTTGACTTAACATTAGTACTGTGCCGGACTAATCTGTTTTTTCTAATGCTGATTAATAATTAGATTTCAAAAAGTGCTTATTGGGGGATTTTTTTATTTTTTACAGAATTTGAACCAGGTGAAGCTAAAACTCTACCGCTTGAAGAGTTTTAGGTTGAACATATTCATGTTTTTAAAAACATTTTTTTAAATGCAAACATTTTTTACAATTTTGGGTTAATTACTGCTCTGAGTGGGTTGTTCAAGCGATTAACTACTAAATTGGTTGACTATTTGAATCACGATTAATCGTTTCAGCGCTACTTCAGAGTATTTTGTCCTCTGAATCCTGGGATGAGTTCAGCACCACATCGTCGATTTTTTATTTTTTATTTATTTTTTTCTTAAATATGTGTAAAACTGACATTTGTGACCCATTTGTGATGCCATATTGGAGACTACAGACAAAGTAAAGCTGCTCCGCCGCAGTGGACCAGAGACTTATTTCTGACTAAAATACTGCCGTCAGTTTCTCTTCCATCTTCAGACACATCTCTCTTCATAATGGTTCATTCATTACCTTCAATGGCTCCTGCAGATTTATGCTTTCTCAGATTGAGCTTTGACTGCACTCTGCCAGGCGGACAGCTGATTATATTTCAATATTCAGACTTGCTCTCCTCACCTTCATGTTTTTATGTGATATAGCCTCATATTTCTGCATTTTTTGCCCTATAACTGCAGAGGTGCACATTTTTGATCTCTTTAGGGAATAATCTAGTCAATTTTGGTTTAAAGTGTCTTGTTTTATTATCCGTCTTTCAAATGTATTCTCGGAGGAAGTGGCCCTGGACGCCTGATGGATTCAGTGTTAAATCGCCGTCTTTATGTCTGCGCTCTGCTGTCTCTTACATGTCAGCCGCCACTGAGCTGAAGTCTCACTCCGTCCTCAGAGACCTGTGTGCACGTCCTGCAGGCTGCTCTTCACATGAAATGGCACACAATGAGTGCCTGTGAGACCACATGCCGCTCACGCTGTGCAGGCGGACCAAGTGTCAGGAGACGGATGGATGGATGGAGGGAAAGAATCGGCCTCTTTTCACTCAATCAGGACTGCATTACAACACAAAACCAGCTGGAATACAAACAGTCTCTGCAGGGTTTTGGTGCAAAGAACCATCGAAAGTTCAGCAGATGCTAATCCTGCTTGGCGCTAGCCTCAATGTCTGACTCGTCAGCCTTCAGTCTGAATAAGTCAAAACAAAAAGCATTAAAATATCTCTACCGTTAAATTGCATTCTGTCTGATCTAGAGAAACTAAATCCTATTTCAATAGTTCAAATGCCAAACATGCCTACGTTAATCTATGCAGTGATATCAGCAGAAGCTAACTTATTTCTGCCCTGTCGTTCAGCCAATCAGATACAAGGAAAATGAACGGCACTCCTGGATTGGCTGCTTTGCCAGCCAATAGCGTATCACACAGCATTGTGTCCAGCCGTTTCAGCTTCCCAACCTGCTTTTTCTTTCAGATATTTTAGTTAAGTGGGGAAAAAAAGCTGGGAATAATTTTACATTCCATGAAAAAATCCACAAAAAGACGAGAGTCCTAAATGTTTGGTCATCCATTCTTTATTTTTCCCAGCTTGTCCCTCTTTTTTTTACAGTAAACTGCTGCAATAAAAGACCTTTGATCTTTTGCTCGTGTTGGTTTTTGTACTTTTATAAAATCATGTTTGATTTGGTCGGAATTTTAAAGTTCCGGTTGATTTCTGTGCATATTGATCGTTCTTTTCCACATTTCTTTGTGAATTTGTTTTTATTTTTGTGGTTTTCAGCCACCTGCTCCTTCGTGGAGAAACGCTACATTTCTCAATGTTTTAATGTTTTTTGAAATTGTCAAATTTTTCTTCCAGTTTCTGGAAACTTAACATTTTGGATAAATATTCTGAACAGTTTACCTCACTTAGCATTCACTTCTATGTTTAACTTAATTGGTGTTTACACTCTCTGGTAAAACGGTTTTACTCTGAAGGGTCAAATCTCTCGGTCGGGTTTTAGAAACGACCAGCTGAAGTTGCAGGAAATGCCAACATACAACCTCGCAAATCACTCTTAACTTTTAATGAACACACATTCTGCCGTCTCAGAAACAATTAAACTAAGATTAGAAGTGTCTCTGCTGCAGTTTTTTGCATAAGACTTCATATTCATGCCTTGTAAATCAAGCTCTAATGCTGACTAACTCTGACATTTATGGCATTATTCACAGTGGCTGACATTTTACGGTACTTCTCCCAGGTCTCATCAGCGCTCAGATAGGTTTCAAACTTCTGCTCTGCTTTAATGTGGCTCAGAGTTTGATTTCTGCAAGCTAGGAACTCCTTTTTGTTTTTATTTTGTTCTGTTTGTCGCAGACGAGTGACTTTTTTTTTTCTGTTCCTGCAGAGCGTGTTCACCCTTCTGCTGGGGCCTTTCACCTTCTTCAACGCCCAGAAGACCAAATATCTTCAGATTCTCACCTCACTCATGCGTTGGATCGGTAAGAGGAAACGAAGGCTAGAAGTTAAAGATTTTTCTGTTAAAATAACATCAACTAGTACATCTGAAAAACATTGGAATATTATATAAGTGCAATATTTCAGATTGCTTTAGTAGCTGCTGTCAGGAAACCTTTGACTGCAAAACCAAACTTTTATCAAGTATTTCTGATCTAGTTTCTAGTGTAAATATCTCAGTACACTTGAAATAAAACAAAATGTGATAAAGGAGTGCAGGCTGTTATGGCCGGTCAGCTTCAGGCTGATTGAAACGCTGTAGTCGGGCCTTCAGAGAGCCGAGCGTCGGCAAACCTCATCGAACTGAAGCGGTGATGGAAACGAGTCGGGCAGCTTCTCCTCGGGCTCAGACAGTCGGACAGAAAGCGATTACAGAGAGTTACTGTTCCTCCTGCCGACTCTCGTTTGAAGCCTTTTCTGGGATCACAGCATTTTAACTTTTCAAGTAAAACTGATTTTCCGATTTCGTCCTGCGTTTCCGGCTCGTCGCAGCTGTTTTCCATTTTATCATCAGTTTGTTTTTGCCTTTGTGGCCGCTGCGGTCAGGTCCGTCCATCACGGTTCGGTTCTGCCCCGTGTCTTTGATTCCCATCTCCTCTCATTCCTCAGCCTGACAGGCTTGACAGGCCGTCCCAAGCCTGATTGGACCGTCACTCACCGGGGCGACGGGCAAAAATAAACCGTCCATCCAGGAGCTGAAGCCGAAATCACAAGCCGCTCATAAACACAGCAGCATCCATGCACTGTCCACTGTTCCTCACTCTGAACGCCCAGCGTAATTGATTGTGGTGTCACTTTACGTCATGCTTTTTGCCGCTCAGGCTAATGATTTAAAATGTCTCGGCTGCAGGATTTGCTTTCTTTGTGTTCACATCATAACAGGAAGCTAAGCTAAGAGATATAAAAGATACTAGCTGTAGTGGCTAAGAGCTGGTTTCTGTTTACTTGTATTGATGCAAGTAGGTGGTGGGCGATGCGGAGGTACAATTTTATCAAAATATCGTGATAACATATCATAAATTAAGTTGTCAGTATAACGCACTAAATCTTAGTTACTGGTGATACATTTTTAAAAAATGGACGGAGTACTTTAATTGTCAACTCTACAACAACCAGAAGTTTTAATTTAAATAAAGCAAAGCTGGTCAGTTATGCTAGCTTGACTATGACAATCTTAGCATGTAGATGTGCTGCAGAATTATTTCAGTTCAGTTTTCTTTCCTGTTTTTCCTTCTATTTTTTTCTTATTCCTTTTACCTCCCTCTTTTCTACCCTCCCTCCCCTTTATATCCCTCCCTACTTACCACCTCCTATATTTTCTTCCTCCTTTCCTTCCTTCCTTCTCTCCCTCTCCCAGTGGAAGTGGAGTCTTTCTAGAATCGGACTCCTCTGTTCTCAGTGTTTAGATGTTTTTGGCGGCGCTCTGAGAAGCCGAGCGAATTGTCGACCTACTTTGTAAATTAAATCATTAATCCTGACCGATGACCTCGCTCCTCTTCTGTCTTTGGCGGTGCGAGTTTGTTTGTAGTCCAGAGGAGGAGAGCACAGACACGGCGAGTTGTGGACTGCTGGCACGTGTCTGCAGCTCCTCAGGGTGAGAAAACGTAATTATTTAGTCTCATTTCCTGCTACCTCCACTTGCTGCACTGCTCTCACAGGAACAGACAGAAACATGCTACATGTTTAGTTAAGATATGGAGATATTTGAATCAAAGTGACACTGCAGTAAGGAATTAGCCATTTTTCTTTTAATTAATCGGCCTTTTCTTCTGTAGTCATTCATACTGGAGAAACTCATAGACCGGCTTCATTTACATAAATCCTGTATCAGTGTGACGTTTCTTATCCCTGATGGTTTTGTTAGTCTGCTCTCCTGCTATAAGTACCCAAATAAAGTCTCTGCATGAAGGTTTAAACATTATTTGCATGTATTTGAATTTGGCTGCACCTAACGATTAATTTAGTAAACGATTATTCTGACGATTAATTGATTAATCGGATATAAAAATGGCACATTCTACAAATTTTTCATTTAACCACTTAAACATTTTATATATTACAAATACAGTAAAAGGTTAAACAAATATGTAATTTCCTTTTTAAATGATCAAATATATTTTATGCAATAAATCTGATTAATCGTTTCAGCCCTAGTTAAATGAGCTTAAAAATAGTTCTGACCTCAACATGTTTAAAGGTTTTTCTGCTTCACTTGTTTGAGCAATTATTGGATGGCAAAAGGTGCTTAATGTGAGATTAACAGAATTAGAACCAAGTGAAGTTAAAACTGCTTGTGGAGTTTTTGGTACAAAAATATTTACAAAGATTTTTCCATCTTAAATGCAAATATTGTTTTAATTCAAGTTTTGGTCCAACTTCTGCTCTGAAAATGTTCTTTCAGTAAAGTAATCGTTTTAGTCTCCAATTAACAATCATTTACTAAATTAGTTGACTATTTCTGTGTTCATCATGATTAATCATTGCAGTAATTGGTCATGAATGGATTTTAATCCTTCTCATCTGAACTCTCCAGATTCTTTAAGTTTTTTCGCTGCAGCTTAGCAACTCAAAGCTTCGGCTTCGTTTGAGGATTTTCTGTCAGATTGAGGTCCGACTCAGCAACTCCGAGGTTTTTCTTTGGCCAGTTCTTTGTTGCATTGATGGTACGTCTTTATCAGACTGGATTAGTCTGATAAAATCTGATCTGCTGATTATATTTTGGTTTAATAACTAAATGTTTGATTATATTTAGTTTTTATCTTGCATGCAAAATATATATTTTTGTACATTTTTTGCGTAATTACCTCCGTTTCCAAAATTGGCCTTTT